GATGGTAACTTAGTTTTTAGTAAAGTGTGGTCTAAACAGGGACCACTTAGTTGAGTAGGGATCAAATGTGCTGGAGGTAGGCCTTGGTATGTAGTCTTTTGCTCCGCCATGATTGTCTTCTGGGTTGAGTTCTATATTCATATTACCCATTATCACTATATTTTTGAATGACGACAGTTGCCTTAGTGTATTGATTAATGACGTGATAAAACTGTCTATTTGTTTAAAACCACAAAGTCTTTAAATAGCAGGGATAGCACTTTCATGGCCCACTTTCACCAATAACCTACTACAATCTAGCTTATCATGTTCTACTCGACTAATATGTTTCTATTTTTTTTCGCAAAGACTACTAAATCGTCATTTTGGTTGGTAAGATATCGATGGTTTCCCGGCAAACACTTTCTTGCAGCACGTCCGTATTGTTGACATTTGAATTTTTTTTGTACGTGGTAGAGCCATGCTGCAGCTATATTAGTAGTATAGTTGTAGCACGAATGGGTCGGCTCAACCGGGGAAGGACCACGCTCTCACAGAAAACCAGCGTAAAATAGCAGCTTAACTACTGTCTACACTCACCATACGAAACACAGCAATGTTTCGTATGGTGAGTGTACAGAACCGGAGACCCCTTTTACTGGCAAAGAGGCATTCCATCTTAGTCCTCACGGGTGACAACGCAGCTGCATCTTCAGTCTTTATTGAGGATAGATGTAGATGTCTATGGGTCACAGTAACCACTTACCATCAGGTGGACTGTGTGCTCGTTTGTCACCCTATCCTATAAATAAAAAGCACCTGGTAACAAGTGTGAAGTCTCGAACTGGGCACGACGTCCAATTTATGAAGACTCGCTCCTGGTTGATAAGCGCCTTTCTGATGCCAGCTGGCAGCTCCAAAATAAAGTTGCATAAAAGTGCTTTTACGAGTATTACCCGATTTATGAATTAACTTTATAAAGGACAAAAAAGATTTCCGCGTTAAATTATGGAGCGTATCGGCTAAATTTTGTTCATAAATGCAATCAAACTCTTCTCGTTCACTAAGGGCGGCAGGTATACGTAAGACTATGATTCGTGGTCTTCTTTTTATGATGCTCTGCCACCTTAGATCTTTTTACCTTTTCAATATCGTCTTTTGTTTCAGTGCCGATAATAACGCCTACATATTGAGTTTTACGTAGTTCTCTTACGCGTACTTTCAATTGTTCGGGGCATATAATTTTTTGGACATGAGATTTTGTATCTTCACTAGTTTTTAATTTATTCTCCGAGTAAATTGCAATGGAATGTTTTGGGGCGCAAGTAATTATTTTTGTTTGTATTGACCATATCAACAAAGGACCTTTTTTCTAACGGTGGTTTGGCGCAGCTTTTTTGAATAGTTTCCATAAGAGATTTTCGTAAATTATTAAGGCACTCCATTAGGTCTTGTTTTTCTCTCAGTGCTTCGAGAGATGTGTATATAAATAACCTTTTGCTTCCACGATTGGCTGAATACTGCAATCTGATAGGCTGTATTACCGACCTTTCGTGATATGGAATTGATTCTCACATTTTGTTCAGAGTTTAGTTTTCCCTCCTGGGTAACTGGCAAACTTCATTAAGGCACTGTTCGATTAAGGTCATCCAATTTTTAAATTCACTGGTGGCTAAAAACTCAATGGGGTCAGCAGCATCATGCTGAAGTAGTTGAGGCGTGCTGGGCGAACTCCGAGGTGTAATGGTGCTCCGTTTGAAAGGGCTATTTTCGTATGTATTAGACATGATTTCTCTCAAATGTTTTTCGCTATAATTTGTTATTTACTACTGTAAAATCACAACTTAGCAGAAATTGCCCAATGGCTTATCTAGGTCACAATTTTATTGAAAATATTTAAACTTTTTTTATATTTAAAATTTATTTTTTGATGACGGGGGGAAAACACCGCCGATCATCCCGCGGTGTGAGTGCTCCATGCCGGATGTGCTGTTCTCACAGCGCTCGGTTCGCAAAGCACTGCTCTCCCTGGACATCCAGAAGTCGAGTGGGCCTGACGGAATCCCCCCAATTGTGCTGAGGACGTGTGCTCCGGAGTTGGCACCGGTCCTAACGCGTCTTTTCCGGTACTCCTACTCCCAAGGCGTAGTCCCGAATTCATGGAAGACAGCTTTTGTCCACCCGATCCCTAAAAAAGGCGACCGCTCAGACCCATCCAACTATAGGCCTATCGCGATCACCTCCTTGTTCTCCAAAATAATGGAATCCATTATTAACTGCCAGCTCATCCGGTACCTTGAGGATCACCAGCTGATTAGTGACCGCCAATACGGTTTTCGTCGGGATCGATCAGCTGGTGATCTTCTGGTCTACCTGACCCATAGATGGGCGGAGGCAGTAGAGTCCAAGGGGGAGGCGTTGGCCGTTAGTCTGGACATTGCGAAGGCCTTCGATCGGGTTTGGCACAAAGCGCTTCTTTCGAAGCTCCCTTCCTATGGGCTTCCCGAGAAATTGTGCAATTGGATCACCAGCTTCCTTGCAGATTGGAGTATCAAGGTCGTTGTAGACGGTGCATGCTCTGACTACAAGCCTATTAACGCTGGTCTTCCACAAGGCTGTGTGCTATCACCAACGCTGTTTCTTCTGCATATCAATGATATGTTGCTAACTGGTAACATTCATTGCTATGCGGATGACAGCACTGGTGATGCTCTATACACCGGCCGTGCCAATATTTCTCGGGAAAACGTCGCTGAGTACCGGAACAAACTTGTGTCTGAAATCGAGTCTTTGCTGAACAAAGTCTCGGATTGGGGGCGACTAAATCTAGTCCAATTTAATCCTCAGAAGACACAAGTTTGCGCGTTTACCGCTAAAAAGAACCCCTTTGTCGTATCTCCTCAGTTTCAAGGCACTCCCCTTCTTGCCTCAGCCAGTATCGGTATCCTCGGAGTCGACATATCGAGTGACGTGCAGTTTCGTGGTCACTTGGAAGGGAAGGCCAAATTGGCCTCTAAAAAGCTTGGCGTGCTCAGCAGAGCGGGACAGTATTTCATGCCGGCACACCGCCTGCTACTTTACAAGGCGCAAGTTCGGCCTCACATGGAATACTCTTCCCATCTCTGGGCAGGGGCTCCCCAGTGCCAGCTCCTTCCACTTGACCGCATCCAACGCAGAGCGGCTCGAATTGTCGACGACCGAGCCCTTTCCGATCGGCTCGATTCATTGGCACTGCGAAGAGATGTTGCATCCCTTTGCATTTTCTTTCGCATCTACCATGGGGAGTGCTCTGAGGAATTGTTCGGATTAATCCCAGCCGCCAAATTTCACGAACGCACATCGCGGCAGAACTCCCGATACCATCCACACCATCTGGATGACTGGCGGTCCACCACTGTGCGATTTAGAAGATGTTTTCTTCCTCACACGACCTCCTTGTGGAATCGATTACCATCAGCGATTTTTCCGGACCGATACGACTTAGGGACCTTCAAGAAAAGAGCGTACTCCTTTTTAAAAGGCCGGCAACGCATCTGCGATTCCCCTGGTGTTGCAGTTGTTCATGGGCGGCGGTAGTCACTTACCATCAGGTGAGCCGCATGCTCGTTTGCCCGCTCTCCTATAAAAAAAAAACACTTGTATTATTGCTAACAGGCACGACTGCTCGATTCGAGCTCCGTAAGCGTATGAATAGCATATGAAAGCGTATGAAAAATAAATGAATATAGAAGTAGACTGAAAAATTGAAAAGAATAATGTACTCGTTTATGAAGTAATATAATGTATATGTATGAAAGTACTATAAAGGCAGATAAGAAACAATGAGGAAAATAAATGTGGATTTGTCTTAAATATTATAATGACTAAAGCCAAACATTCAAGAAAAGGCAGATTAATTTAAAAAGGGAAGAAGCCGTTGTACTCTTGCAAGATTAGTCCAGAAGAATATGAAATTTGAGCCAAGAAGAATACAGAAGAGATTAAGAGGTAACTTTGCACCTGTGTAATTTTTAATACCATTTGGAATTTCAACAATTTGAGATTGATTTTTTTTAATGTTGATTCTGTTGTTTAGTTTAAAAAAGGTTATGTATTAAATGTTCTGTATTAAATATATGATTAAATTGAAATTATATATCAGATAATTCACGATATATAATAGATTTTTCAAAATTTTTATCACTATTTATACAAAAAAATGCAATCATAATACAAAACCAAAAATTAAGCACATTACATTTGAAGCACTTATGGCATTTCGGTGTTGATTTATCACGTATTTGACAGCGAAGTTGTAAAAAATAACATAGTGGGGAAATCTAGATTTCTAAGTCTCTTAAAAAAATACACGACGGGTAATGAGGAGCCCTGTGCGCAGTCGTGACACATTTGTAAGCAGTTACTATACTTTTTAATTTTCAATAAGACTTATCAAACAGTTTGCAATTTATTAATATAGCTTTCATATGTTTAGACATATTAAGATTTAATAGCTCACGTAATGAAAGTAATATAAATGTTACCAAAACACAGGTTTATTTTAATTTTAACTGTGAGTAAATCTGCACTGATCGAATGTTAAAAGTCGTTTGTCAAAGGCAGTAATCGAATTAGTCCTTAGAATAATTACATACATATCAGTCCAAACGTACATTTCAACTTAGGTGATGAACGTCGATCCACGCCGACACCACCCAAGTTTAACTGCTATTTGATGTATCATTTTACAACATTCTCGGCGGTGAAGAAAACATCGCGAAGAAATCTGCATATCTGATTAGTTAAACAATATTTCGGAAAATATTTTCATCTATCCTGTTTCCATACCCTATGTCTGAGAAGAAGATGCTCTTACGACACTAAATAATACTTTACACTAAATAAGATAGAGGTAATGAAATTCAACATATAAAAGTAATATTAGTATTTAATCAAATTAAAACGACGGAATAAAATAATGACAAAAAAAATTAAATTTGAGTTGCACAAATATATAAAATTCTCCAAGTACTTTTTATTATTCAGCCGTGGCCATAACCGCCGTGCCCTCCGCCGTGCCCTCCACCGTGTCCCCAACCTCCATTTATGGATGCTTCCGCTTCCACGCCTTCTGGTTGAGCTATCATTTCATCCGGGTACGGTAGCGCCAATGCATATGCCAAGCATATAACCATCAAAAGAGCAAGGCACAGGACCTGTAAGTAAAACAGTTTTAGGAATTTCTAAAAACTGTTACGCTGAATATGTTTAGTGTAACAAAATTAACATTTTAGTATTTGAGCCACGCTGCAATCTAACATCCCTGCAGCACGAATGGCTCTACTGAACAGGGTAAGGAAAACACTCGCACAAAATACCAACGTGAAATAGCAGCAATGTAGTCGTATGGTGAGTGACGAGAGCCGGAGACCCTTTGAACTGGTAACGAGGCATTCCGTCTTATTCCTTAAGGGTGAAAACGTACCTTTTTTTTATAGAATTGAGGTGACAAACAAGCACACAGTCCACCAGATGGTAAGTGGTTGCTGTGGCCCATAGACATCTACATCTATCTTCGCTTGCGAATTAAAATGCAGATGCGTTGTCAGCCGTGAGGGCTAAGATAGAATGCCTCTTTTCCAGTAAAATAGGTCTCCGGTTCTTTATACTTACCACACGAAACACAGCAGCATTAAGCTGCTATTTCACGCTGGTATTCTGTGAGAGCGTGGTCCTTGCCTGCAAATTATATCTTAATTGATAATAATAGATCACTATAGTTCACAGTATCCACTTACCCTCAGATGGAATGTGTGCTCGCTTGTCAACCTTATTTTAAAATAATTTATATCACTTGGTTAGCAAAATGTTTTTTAAAAATAAATAAATAATAATAAGTAAATATGATGCAAATAATTAGAGTTGGTTCACTTACAGTTTTCATGTTGGCTAGTCACCTTTAACAATAATGACGGTAGTTGTTCATGGAGTCCTATTTATACCGCTTTACTTCTGCCTCTGAATATTTTGGTTTAGGAAAATAACCGGTATGTATGTATGTTTTCGTCGCATTAAGATAAAAATAAATCAAGTATGTTTTGGTAAGTTACAGGTCAAAGGTTTAAAGGAACGTTAAAATATGTAATAACTTAATAGTAAGTTATTTCCATATTCACTTAAAGAGACTTTGAACTTATTTATTGACGGTAATTTAGGCTACGGTCCCCTATTAAATGCTATAAGCGACGTCCGACTTCAGCGTAAAAGTTCCAATCGGCGTCTGAACGCCAGGCACAGCGTCGGCGGTCAATACATATCTTAGCAGCGGACGACATCTCGACACACACAACAGTTAAGTAGCTGACAGTGCTCGCGTGTGGTTGTGTGTGATATTTGTATATAAAATGGATATAAATTGAACACTTTTGGCTGCGCTTGTGTTACTTGAAGAAGAGGCACAAGACGACTGCTGTGGTGGATGTTGTGGTGGATGCTGTGGTGGGTGCAGCAGCGGACCCTGTTGTCCATTGTAGTGTTATGCTACTTACATATCACTTTACATTATTTTAAATTCATTTTTCCATTCTGTTTCGATTCTCTGCATTCACCTCAAAACTGGATATTTTACATCACCTTTATTTCCATAGGATCCTGTAACGATTTTAAACCATAAGAACACAATAACAAATCATTTCTACTTCGTATTTTCACATTATCAGCACTTTCAAATTGGTGTCAATGGAGTCTACCTATTTTCGATCTTTTAGCTAGTTTTCCGTAACTCTACAATCTCGGGCTTTGTGTGGGCAGCTGCGCTACCTTTTTTCCTATATCAATAATATCTCATTTTCCACTTAAATCTTACCGTTTTCTTATTATAAACCTAAAACCAAAATTTGACATGTTTTGACATTGTTATTTATTTCGTTTCCATAGTAATTATATTCAAATTTGCTACCGATCTGTTGTTCCTATTTCGATAATTCTACATAAATACTCTTTTCTCTTGACCATTTACAAAAAATTTGCGTTTAATTTAAATAATTTTTCCGTTCTCTCTAGAAAGGTATAAAAGCCGAACAATCGGTGAAGAAAGGCAGTCTCGCTTCAGTTCGCGAATTGGAAGTATCTCCTAAAGGCCTTATCCCGGGGCCGCACTGCCCCGGGATCCTGCAAGCCTCCACCTACACGTGAAGTCTTCGGCGAAGCCTTCTTCAAACGCGGAGCCGCACCACTCCGGAATCCTACAACATTCGCATCGCTTCACGACATTTGGCGCCAAATGTCGTGAAGCGACAATAATAAATCTAACCTAAGAACAACAAAACAACAAAAATACAACAAAAACAAAAATATATTCAAAATTCAAAGATATTTACAATTTTATAAAAAAATGAAATGAGGATGATGATGAATGAAGTGAGAGTACAATTAGATTACAAAAAAAATATAAAGGTAAGAGAATAGGGGAATATAGAGATGTAGTGGGGCCTAAAAGTCGAAGCGACACACGTTGCGATTGTAGATGTAGGTTTCTTAGCAGCGACGACACGCAGCGCCTGAAGCCAGCACACGCCGGTTGCGCTTGTAGAGGTAAGTTTCTTAGCAGCGACGGCACGCAACGCCTGGAGCCAGCACACGCAGCGTCCGGAGCCGGCGCACGTAGCGCCTGGAGTAGGTGCGCTCAACGCTTAGAGTCAGCAGTTGCAGCGCCCAAAGGTAGCGCCGGCGGTAGGTGCTCTCGGCGCCTGGAGTAAGCAGTTGCAGCGCCAAAAGGTAGCGCCGGCGGTAGGTGCTCTCGGCGCCTGGAGTAAGCAGTCGTAGCGCCCGGAGTAGTGTGGCCCCCGCGCTTGTAGTAGACTTCCGAGGTAGATGGAGGCTTGTAGGATTCCGGAGTGGTGCGGCTCCGCGTTTGAAGAAGGCTTCGCCGAAGACTTCACGTGTAGGTGGAGGCTTGCAGGATCCCGGGGCAGTGCGGCCCCGGGATAAGGCCTTTAGGAGATACTTCCAATTCGCGAACTGAAGCGAGACTGCCTTTCTTCACCGATTGTTCGGCTTTTATACCTTTCTAGAGAGAACGGAAAAATTATTTAAATTAAACGCAAATTTTTTGTAAATGGTCAAGAGAAAAGAGTATTTATGTGGAATTATCGAAATAGGAACAACAGATCGGTAGCAAATTTGAATATAATTACTATGGAAACGAAATAAATAACAATGTCAAAACATGTCAAATTTTGGTTTTAGGTTTATAATAAGAAAACGGTAAGATTTAAGTGGAAAATGAGATATTATTGATATAGGAAAAAAGGTAGCGCAGCTGCCCACACAAAGCCCGAGATTGTAGAGTTACGGAAAACTAGCTAAAAGATCGAAAAAAGGTAGACTCCATTGACACCAATTTAAAAGTGCTGATAATGTGAAAATACGAAGTAGAAATGATTTGTTATTGTGTTCTTATGGTTTAAAATCGTTACAGGATCCTATGGAAATAAAGGTGATGTAAAATATCCAGTTTTGAGGTGAATGCAGAGAATCGAAACAGAATGGAAAAATGAATTTAAAATAATGTAAAATGATATGTAAGTAGCATAACACTACATTTTCCCCCCGACCCTGGAAAATTTTTGACTCAGCAAAAATTTTGATATATACATTCTAAAATAAACCATAAAAACACAGCTTTGCAGAAACAGACATCACCAGGCAAAATCAGATATACCATCTCTTACATTCATCATCTGCCATTCAGGTAAGGGTGGAGTTCACATTCTATGACTACCACTCTAAAAGTGTGTTTTCAAAACGACATTAAGGCTTATTTAAGGAGTAGTCATCCGCTCCTGCGTGGAAAAAAAAAATTAGTCGAAGAAACACCACTCTTAAAAGTGTGTTTCCGAAAGGACATTCAGGCTTATTTAAGGAGTTGTCATCCGCTCCTGCGTGAAGATAAAAAAAAAATTATTAAGGGAGTAGTCAGCCGCTCCCAAGTGAAGATAAAGATAAAGAAATCAATCTTAAGCAAGCTTTAGTCGCTATGACTTAAGTAAAGATTAAGAACGGCCAGAGCGGTAGGGCTCAAAGCCAGAGATCAGCAACATCACTAGCGAGATGTGTCTGAAATAAAAAGTGAAGATTAACCAACGAAAGTTCGAGGTCCTAAAGCAAGATGTGTTGAAGAACACTGGATCATCAAACAAACAAACAAATTAAAAGAAATAAAAATAATAAGATGAGAATGATGGTGATATTTATATCTAGGTAACTTAAAGAGGTATAACTTTTCAATTAAATCTTTATTTCTTAAACTTAACTTTGAACTTTACACTTTATATAAAATTGTTTTTCAAAGCTGAAGCGAGACGATTCATAACTTTTCTAAGCATTTACTAACTGTTAATTTGTATATATGTATAAATATCTAAACATTTATTAACTGTTAATTTGTATATATGTATAAATATCACCATCATTCTCACCTTATTATTTTTATTTCTTTTAATTTGTTTGTTTGTTTGATGATCCAGTGTTCTTCAACACATCTTGCTTTAGGACCTCGAACTTTCGTTGGTTAATCTTCACTTTTTATTTCAGACACATCTCGCTAGTGATGTTGCTGATCTCTGGCTTTGAGCCCTACCGCTCTGGCCGTTCTTAATCTTTACTTAAGTCATAGCGACTAAAGCTTGCTTAAGATTGATTTCTTTATCTTTATCTTCACTTGGGAGCGGCTGACTACTCCCTTAATAATTTTTTTTTTATCTTCACGCAGGAGCGGATGACAACTCCTTAAATAAGCCTGAATGTCCTTTCGAAAACACACTTTTAAGAGTGGTGTTTCTTCGACTAATTTATTTTTTTTCCACGCAGGAGCGGATGACTACTCCTTAAATAAGCCTTAATGTCGTTTTGAAAACACACTTTTAGAGTGGTAGTCATAGAATGTGAACTCCACCCTTACCTGAATGGCAGATGATGAATGTAAGAGATGGTATATCTGATTTTGCCTGGTGATGTCTGTTTCTGCAAAGCTGTGTTTTTATGGTTTATTTTAGAATATATATATCAAAATTTTTGCTGAGTCAAAAATTTTCCAGGGTCGGGGGGAAAATG